AGCAAATCTTTTCACTGGCATTGTTTTTACAGCAAAGCTGTGGGGCGATCGTAAGTAGGTAAGCTAAGCTAGTAATTCTGCAGTCGAACAAGCAATATAATACAACGGGAATTATGCTCCGCTTCTTTTTGGCGAACGTATGCAATCGTGAAGTGAAACGAATCAAAAGCTAAGTAAGCTGGACAAAGCGTTTGCAAAGTTGTACTTCTTTCCTGACTACTAAGCAGATGAAAAGTGCAAATGTCGGCTTTCACTTATCTGCAGATATCATGGTGAGCTAGCTTTTGCTAAGTCGCACTGACGTGTCAGTGAAAACTAAGACTGATATGTGCCTCAGATACAATCCGACAGAAGTTCACAATTTTATACTTTTCTGCATCTAAACTGTATCAAACTCTAACTGATCAAATTTTTATCTTTTTGTTTGTTCTTCCTCTTCTTTGAGATGATTCCGAACGGTTTTAAACGCTGTTTGATATCTTCTGTTGGCATCGGGGGTTTCTTGCGTATTGAAGCAATGGTAAAGTTCATCACGGGTAAATCGTTTTCCATGTGCCTTGCTGCAAAAAAAAATAAATAAATAAATAGCGGCACACAATAAATAGTAGCTCATGCAATTATGTGTTTTGTGCAACTTGTACAGCAAACACTTGTGTAATTCTGTGTGGCGGACGCTGGTGTAAACCCTGTCCATTTGACGATTGTGCACCTCTGTCTAAGAAAACCTTGCTGTCAAAAGTATTCACTGCATTACTGCTTGATATGTACAGCAATTTTTGTGATTCCCGAGTTATTAATTTAGGCGCCAAAACTATCGCGTGCCCCTATGTGAGACCGGGACGCGCGTAAAGGCTGACTTTAAACCTACGGAGTCACACGCGGGTAGGGAGTGTTCTCCTAAAATTTCAACCCCTTGGCTTTTGCGATTCCCCAGTTCATTTTGACGACAAAACATATCTGAGACTTGGACGTACACAGGGACTGAATTATATGCGAGCAGGGGCATTATTCTTAAATTTCAGCTTCCTAACTTTCCTGGTTCCCAAATTATTAATCTTGGGGCCGGAAATTTCGTGTGTCCTTACGTGAGATCTAGGCATGTGAGGGAGGAGGACTGAATCTGAATTTGCTAGGTCATAAGCGAGCAACAGATATCCTCCTAAATTTTCAGCTTCCTAACTTTTCTGGTTCTCGAGTTAACGAGTTTAGCGCCGAAATTTTCGCGTGCTCGTACGCGAGAACTAAGCGTAAATGAAGGCTGAATTTAACTTTATGGGCTCACATGCGGGCAAGGGATATTACACTCAAATTTCAGCATCCTCGCTTTTGTGGTTCCCGAGTATTAATTTAGACGCCAAAACTTTCACGTGACCGTATGAGAAGTCTAGGCGCATGCGTAGCTGAATTTGAGCTTGCGAGATTATACGCAAGTAGGAGGTCCCTCCTCAAAATTTCAGCTTCCTAGCTTCTTTAGTTCCCGAGCTGAACCCATGGGCACATGGAACACACAGGCACGCAAAAAGGGTTAAATGGGAAAAAAATGAGAATAAACTAACATACACTTTTGGCAAAATAAAAAATCATGAGTGCCCCAAACTACTAATCACTTAACTTCCAAAAAAAAAGAAAGCAGCATCACAAATTTACTGCCTATCGATTAAAACAACACGCTGCTGCTGCCCTCTGCTTCAATTAATTTAGATTTAGTGCTTCTTGACTTCGCCCTTCGTATTTTCACACATATACTTCACCACTGATTTTTGCGCCTCATCCTGCTCGATTCTGCAGCGCTCAAAAATTTTTTCATAACTGTGTGAAAAAATCTGCGCTCAGTGAAACAAAA